CGGAGGACGCTCCGTTCCCGGTTCCCCGCTCCCCTGCCCCTGTCCGGGCCCGGGGCGGGCCCGGGGCGGCCCCGGTGGGCGGGAGGGGGCGCGGGCAGCCCGGCCCCGTTCCCGCTCCGCCTCCAAAAGGCTCCGGCCGGGCGGGCCCCGCTCACAGCCCCGGGACCCCGCACCCATGGGCGGCTGCCGGGCCCCGCCGCCTCCCGGGGGGGCTCCTCGCCGTCCTCGGCCCCCGGTACCGGGCAGCGCCGGCGGGACACAGCCCGGGGACTGAGGGAAACCCGGGAAGAGGCCACGGGAAGCTCGGGAAATCCCGCGGGTGAGCGGGGCCGGGGGGGACGCGGAGCCCTGATCCAGCTGCACATTCCCAGCTCTCCCAGCCCTGGAGCAGCTCCAGGCTCTCCTCTCCAGCTCCGTGTCCTGCTGATTTTGGGATCCTGGAGCTGCAGGTGGGCTCTCACCTGCCCCATCCCAATGGCAGAGCTGGGATTGGGATTGGGATTGGGATTGGGATTGGGATTGGGATGTGCCGAGCCCCAGCCCCGTGGCACATTCCCGTTTTTCTCCAGCAGGATGGAGAGCAAGGCCGTGGATCTCCACACCTTCTCCGAGCGGGAGAACGGATCCGAGCTGGAGGAGCCCTTCGAGGGACGGAGCCTTTCCAAGCTGAACCTCTGCGAGGACGGTGAGCGCGGATCCGCCTCCGGATCCACTCGGGATGCGCCTCTGGATCCACTCGGGATCCACCTACGGATCCACTCCGGCGTCAGCCTCTGGATCCACCTGTGGATCCACCCCTGCATCCGCCTCTGGATCCACTTCTGGATCCAGATCCACCTCTGGATCCATCCCTGCATCCAACTCTGGATCCGCCCCTGGATCTGCCTGTGGATCCATTCTGGATCTGCCTGTAGATCCACTTCTGGATCCGGCTCCAGATCCACCTCTGGATCCATCCCTGCATCCACCTCTGGATCCGCCCCCTGGATCTGCCTGTGGATCCACTTCTGGATCTGCCCCTGGATCTGCCTCTGGATCCAACTTAGGATCCACCCCTGTATTCACCTCTGGATCCACTTCTGGATCCAACCTAGGATCCACCCCTGGATCCACCTTGGGATCCACCTCCTGATCCATCCCTGGATCTGCCTCAGGATCCACCCCATGATCCACCTCCAGATTCCTCTCTGGATCTGCCTCTGGATCCACCCCCGGATCCCCCCCAGATCCACCTCCAGATTCATTCCAGGATCCACCTCAGGATCCCCCCTGGATCTGCCTTGGGATCCACCCGGGGATCCAGCCGGGATCCATGGCGGGAGCGCGCGGAGCTGGCGGGAGCCGGGATTGCTGGGGAAGGAGCTCCGGATGTGGCTCCTCGCGGGCAGAGGAGCCCGGGATGAGCTCAGCGCTCAGCTCCGGGCTCCAGCCGGGATTCCCGGCCCTGGGAATGGTGGATTTCATGGTGGGAGCGGCACCGGGATGTGTCCTGGCCTTGGCCCAGGTTTTCCAGGGATTCTGCGGCTCCCCCATCCCTGGAAGTGCCCAAGGAAAGGTTGGATGGGGCTTGGAGCAGCCTGGGGTTGTGGGAAGTGTCCCTGGGATGGCATTGAAGGTCCATGGATCCCATCCCAAACCATTCTGGGATTCTGGGATCAAGGACACTCAGGATCCATCCCCAGGGATTTTTATGGAATTCAGGGATGGAAAAGGGAACGGAGACCCTTCCTGGAGCCCCCAATTCCCAGGGAAGCCCCTGGATCCCAAAATTCCTTCTCCAGGAGGAGTCGGGATGGGGATGGATCCAGTGCCAGGCTGGGAGAGCTGGGAATGTGCACTGGGATCAGGGAAGGATCCAGGGAATCCTCGGAGCCTTTTCCAGAGGCTCCAGGAGAGCTGGGATTTGGGAAAGGGCTGGAGGGCCAGGAGCCAGGGAATGGCTTCCAGTGGGAAAGGGGAGCTTGGGATGGTGGGATCTTGGGAAGGAATTCCCAGGATGGGGAGGGGCCGGCTGAGCTGGGAACATCCAGCTCTGGATAAATTCCTCCTGGGAATGCTGCAAGGGGCTCATGGAGGTGACTCCAAGGGGACCTGTGGAGGTAGGGACACCTTTGGATCCAGAGGGAGAATTCTCCATCCAGGAGTTCCCTGAGTGTGGATCCCATTCCCAAAATCCCTGCTCCTGCCTCTTCCCAGCTTCCCAATCCTGCTGGGAAATTCCCACTGGGAAACCGCTGGAAAAGCCGGGAGAGAAGAGCCGGAGCCCCCCCAGGACTGATCCCAGAATTCCCAGCAAATCCCTTGCCCTGGGAAAGGCTGGAGGTGCCTCCCTGGCTTTGGGCTTTTGATGGAATTCCGCCTGGAATTCTCGGGGCTCATCCCAAGGCGGGGGTGGCTCTCCCGGGAACCCCATTCCCAGGGAAGAGGTCTCTGGAGCGGGATTTTTGGGAAGGGGCAGGAGCAAAGTCAGCCCCGAGGGTGGGACCACCCGGATCCCGCCCGAACTCATGGAAAACTCCCGCCGGGGGAGCGAGGATCCATCGGGAGCGCGATCCAATCCTTCTGCTGGCCCGGGAACGGCATTCCCGGACCTTTTCCAGGGTTTCGGGGCCCCCGAATCCCCGAATCCCGGTTGTTTTCCTCCTCCCGCTCCCTGGAGCCTGGGCAGGGGCAGGAAATGTTCGCTTTTCCTTGGATCCCGGCCCTTTCCCCGGGCAAACGCTGCCGGCCGCGCTTCCAAGGGCCGGGAATGGGAGTGGGTGGATCGGGGCGCGGCGCCAGCTCCTCCCGGGAGCCGCTGGAAGTGCGGAATGTCAGGAAAACATCGGCGCCCTCCTCATCCCGCGGCTCCATCCCAGGAATTCTGGGCGGGGAGCGGGGGATGGGATCCAGCTGGAGCATCCCGGATCCCACCTGAGCCCCATTCCCCCTGGATCCATCATTCCCGAGCTCCAAAGCCGGGCTGAGTTTCGGGATCCGCCCGCCGTAACCCTTTCCCGGCTGGAGGCTTTTCCAGGCATCCCTGCTTTCCCGGGAGGGACACGCGGGGACAGCCCTGGAGCTCGGGAAGGACCAGGGGAAAGGGTCCCTGGAATTCTGGGATCCCCCCATCCAGGGGTTCCACAGCCGGAGCTGGGAATTGCCCTGGGATGGGATCCCAAATCCCAGCAGGAATGGGATCCCAAATCCCAGCAGGGATGGGCCAGGCTGGAACTGGGAATTGCCATGGGATGGGATCCCAAATCCCAGCAGAGATGGGATCCCAAATCCCAGCAGGAATGGGATCCCAAATCCCAGTGGGAATGGCCAAGGTGGAAGTGGGAATTGCTCCTGGACATGAAATAGGATCCCAAATCCCAGCAGGAATGGGCCAGGCTGGAGCTGGGAATTGCCATGGGATGAGATCCCAAATCCCAGCAGGAATGGGATCCCAAATCCCAGCAGGAATGGCCAGGCTGGAGCTGGGAATTGCTGTGGGATGGGATCCCAAATCCCATCAGGAATGGGATCCCAAATCCCATCAGGAATGGCCAGGCTGGAGCTGGGAATTGCCCTGGGATGGGATCCCAAATCCCAGCAGGGATGCTCCAGGCAATCCCAGCAGGGATGGGATCCCAAATCCCAGCAGGGATGCTCCAGGCTGGATCCGGCCGTGGATCAGCGCTGTCTCCATCCAGGAGGTTTGGATTTGGGATTCCCCTCTCCCGTGGGATGAGGGGCTCTGGGTCGGAGCCTTGGTGCTCCAAGAGGCACAAAACACCCGGATGGAGGCTCCAGGTGGGAATTCCGGGCTTTTCCTCCCTCTTCCATTGGTGTCTCCTGGGGAGAACTCGGATCTGGGAAAGGGCAAAGAGAGCTGGAGCGAAAATGCCGGGAAAGTCTGCTCCCAAAAAACCGCTGTTCCCGCCAGGGTCCAACAGGGAATGCTTCGGGTGGGAAGAGACCTCCAGACTCATCCCATTCCATGGGCAGGGACAATTCCCACCATCCCGGGCTGCTCCAAGCCCATCCAACCTTTCCTTGGATAGTCACAGCGATCCAGGGGTTCTCTGGGAATTCCAGCCCAGCCGGGAATTCCTTCCCAAGATCCCAATCCCAGCAGGAATGGGCCAGGCTGGAACTGGGAATTGCCCTGGGATGAGATCCCAAATCCCAGCAGGAATGGGATCCCAAATCCCAGCAGGAATGGGCCAGGCTGGAAGTGGGAATGGCCATGGGATGAGATCCCAAATCCCAGCGGGAATGGGCCAGGCTGGAACTGGGAATTGCCCTGGGATGGGATCCCAAATCCCAGCAGGGATGCTCCAGGCTGGATCCGGCCGTGGATCAGCGCTGTCTCCATCCAGGAGGTTTGGATTTGGGATTCCCCTCTCCCGTGGGATGAGGGGCTCTGGGTCGGAGCCTTGGTGCTCCAAGAGGCACAAAACACCCGGATGGAGGCTCCAGGTGGGAATTCCGGGCTTTTCCTCCCTCTTCCATTGGTGTCTCCTGGGGAGAACTCGGATCTGGGAAAGGGCAAAGAGAGCTGGAGCGAAAATGCCGGGAAAGTCTGCTCCCAAAAAACCGCTGATCGCGCCAGGGTCCAACAGGGAATGCTTCGGGTGGGAAGAGACCTCCAGACTCATCCCATTCCATGGGCAGGGACAATTCCCGCCATCCCGGGCTGCTCCAAGCCCATCCAACCTTTCCTTGGATAGTCACAGCGATCCAGGGGTTCTCTGGGAATTCCAGCCCAGCCGGGAATTCCTTCCCAAGATCCCAGCATCCCAAGCTCCCCTTTCCCACTGGAAGCCATTCCCTGGCTCCTGGCCCTCCAGCCCTTTCCCAAATCCCAGCTCTCCTGCAGCCTCTGGAAAAGGCTCCAAGGATTCCCTGGATCCTTCCCTGATCCAGCTGCACATTCCCAGCTCTCCCAGCCTGGCATTGGATCCATCCCCATCCCGACTCCTCCTGGAGAAGGAATTTTGGGATCCAGGGACTCCACTGGGAATTGGGAACTCCAGGAAGGGTCTCCCTTCCCTTTTCCATCCCCATAAAATTCCATAAAAATCCCTTGGGATGGATCCTGAGTGTCCTTGATCCCAGAATCCCAGAATGGTTTGGGATGGGATCCATGGACCTTCAATCCCATGATCCCAGGGACACCTCACACAATCCCAGGGTTTTCCAAATCCACCCTTGGACACTGCCAGGGACCCAGGGATTCTCTGGGAATTCCAGCCCAGCCGGGAATTCCTTCCCAAGATCCCACCATCCCAAGCTCCCCTTTCCCACTGGAAGCCATTCCCTGGCTCCTGGCCCTCCAGCCCTTTCCCAAATCCCAGCTCTCTTGGAGCCCCTTTGGGATCGGGAAGCGGCTCCAAGCATTCCCTGGGGCTCAGGGATTCCCTTGGAGCTGCATCCCACGGGATTTTCCTGCCTGGCTCCACCCCAGCAGCTCCGGAACGCTTTGGGTGGGAAGCGACCTCCAATCCCGCCCCATTCCCGCTATTCCCAGGTGGCTCCAACCCCAGCCAGCCTTTCCTCGGGCGCTTCCAGGGATGGATCCCGGCCGTTCCCGCGGCATTCCAAGGCCCCGCTGATCCGTGTCCCGCTGCTTCCCGCAGATCCCGGCCGGAGGACGCGGCCCTGGGCGCGCGGCGGCCGGATGGGCTCGGTGGCGGCGCTGAAATATTCCGTGGTGGGGCTTTACCTCCTGGTGCTCCTCATCCTGGTGGGAATCTTCATCCTGGCAGGTGAGGCCGGCCCCGAGAACTTTCCGGAGATTCCACGGAATTCCCAGGCCGGGAGGGGTTTTTTGGGTCGTCCAGGGGAGGGGAAGTTGGGATCCAGCAGGAAAAAAAAAAAAAATAAAGGAACCAAAAAAAAACCACCCACCCCAAAAACTCATCAAAAACCCCAAAGAATTCGAAAAAAATTAAAAAAAACCACCCCAAAAACACATCAAAAACCCCAAAGAATTCTAAAAAATAATTCCAAAAAAAACCCTGAAAAAAACCCCAAAAACACATCAAAAACCCCAAAGAATTCTAAAAAATAATTTAAAAAAAAATCCTGAAAAAACCCCAAAAACACATTAAAAACCCCCAAGAATTCTAAAAAAATTTTAAAAACCCACCCCAAAACACATCAAAAACCCCAAAGAATT